TGCGTCTTTGAATTTCTCTGCTGGTATCATTTTCGGCGGTCACCAGTGAGCCCAAATACACGAACTCATCGACCACCTCGATTTCGTCACCGTCAATCTGAACTCGGGGTGGGTGGCTAACATTGTCTGCCCTAGAACCTCTTCCTTTCATGTATGTTGTCTTTGATGCGTTGATGGCAACTTCAATCCGCCTAGCTTCAGTCTTCAGTCTGATCCTTCCGTGCCATGATGTCGATGTCATCGACGAAGCCAAGAAGCTGGATGGACTTCCTGAAGATCGTGCCACTCGTGTCTATCCCAGCTCTTCTGATCACACCTTGTAACGCGATGTTTAATAGCAGAAACGAAAGTCCATCACCTTGCCGTAGCCCCCTTCAAAATTCAAAGGGACTCGAGAGTGTCCTCGATACTTGAACAACGCACATAGCTCGATCCAAATTTGCCTTGACTCGTGCATGATCTACCATAGCTGATCTCGATCGATTGTGTCGTATGCGGATTTGAAATCGATGAACAAATGATGAACGTTGTATTCGCGGCATTTCTGCAGAACCTGCCGAATCGCGAAAATTAGGTCCGTGGTAGCGCGGGCACCCATGAATCCCACCTACTATTGCCCCACGAACTCTTTTGCAAATTGTGACAGGGGGAGGCATAGCATTTGGGAGAGTACCTTGTAGGCGGCGCTCAGCAGTGTGTTTGCGCGGTAGTTGCAGCAATTCAACTTGTCGCCCTTTTTGTATATTGGGTATACGATACCTTTCATCTACTCCTCCGGTAATATCTCCTCCAGCAAGTGCTTCACCACCGTATTTTAATAGCTCACTCACCAGTTGCTTTGTTGTTCTTCAGCCGACCGATCTCCTCCTCAACTTCTTGAAGATCAGGGGTCGATAGCCTGTCGTCCTCTGCGCGTGCTCCAAGGTCTGTTGTCGTGACACCTTCGCTTTCTGATGCATCACCGTTAAGGTGCTCGTCACTAGTACCAACCGGTGGAAACTAACGATTTCAAATTGGCTCACTACTTGACTAGCCTATTGGGTCCCAAGCAAATCGATTAACGTACCCCATTCTAGTCGAAATTCTAGTACTACGCTATGTTTGTTTTGGTTCGCTATGATAGTTTGACAGATAAAATGAGGGGTTCGTGGATTTTCATGTGTTTCGAGGGGTGCATAGATTAGCTTGGGACCGAAGAGAGTACCAGAGCTGAGCCAAAAAGTTGAGCACGTTCGTGAGAAGGTTACCGTCCTAGTCCTTGCACATATCGCCTTGCGGCACGTAGCCTTCGTGCGAACTATTTAGCTTCTCGTAGAACTTCCATGTGTCGTTTACGCGGTACAGATTTTTCATCGGCTCGCGATCATGGTCTTCCTGCTGACGCTTCTTCCTTCGAAAAACCGAGTTTTGTCTGCTCCACGCTTGTCTGTATCGCTCCACATTCAATCTCGTGCGGTGTTGCAGTATTCTCGCCCGTGCTGCATTCTTCTCCTCTACTAACAGTTTGCATTCGCCGTAAAACCAGTCATTTCTTCGGTTCGGGATCTTAGTACCTAGTGCCACTGCAGCATTACTACCAATAGCGGAACGGATGTCCCTCCAGCCAAGCTGCTCTTCCGTGGTTAGTGCAGCTTCCAGCTGCTGCGTGTAGTCCTGGGCAACTCCGGCGTCCCGTAATTGATCAATGTTGGGTCGCGGCGTTCGACTTCGACGGGTGTTATGGACCGTCAAGAGTTTTGAGCGCATGCATACTGCAACTAATGGGGTGTTTACATCTGTACGGATTTACTCGCGCTAGTGTACTCGCCAACTAGTACGGATTACAGTTGCTCCTGAAATGTCATGCTGGTAGACGCTGATGCCCTGTTTACATTATGCTGGTCAGTGTTTTTGCCAGCAGCGAGCGCATTAGCGCTAGTGTACTAGCCTAAGTGTAAACACCACATAAGTAGTGGTCCGAATCTATTTTTTCACTGCGGTACGTGCGGACGTTGATAATGTCGGAGAAGAGTTTCCCGTCAATAAGAACGTGATTGATTTGGTTTTCTATGTGTATGTCAGGTGATCTCCAGGTGGTTTTGTGGATATTCTTGTGGGGGAAAAAGGTACTTTGAACTACGATACCCCGAGAGGCTGCAAAGTTCACGCATCGTTGGCCGTTGTCGTTCGATTCGGCATGCAGGCTGTTTGGCCCGATCGCCGGTCTATGATGATGCTGTAGTTGAAGAAACGGCCCTTAATCCTCAACTTGCACATCCACGCGTTGATCGGCTGCCAACCAATCACGCGTTGGCGTATCTTACCCAGCACTACAAAGCCGGTTCCCAGCTCGTTGGTGGTGCCACAGCTCTGGTAGAAAGTAGCCGCTCGATGCCCGTTTTTCCATACCTTTTGTCCCGTCCAGCAAAGTTCCTGCAGTGCTACGACTTCGAAGTTGCGTGGTTGAAGTTCGTCATTGATCAACCTATCGCAGCCCGAGAAACCGAGCGATTTGCAGTTCCATGTTCCGAGTTTCCAATCGTAGTCCTTATTTCGTTACGTAGGTCTGTGCCGATTGTTCCGATTTGCATTTCTTTATGCGGTATTTGCAACTTTATGATTTTGTTTCCTGGGTGGCTGAACTGCTATGTTTAGAGTCCCACGCTGGCACTAGGTCGGTGATCAGCCACTCCTAACATGGAGAACAGATGCAGTTTTGAACCGCACCTCTATGGTAAACAGACGCTCGGGTATGGTAATGTATTTCCTCTACCGCCGTACTAGCGTTACCGCGCCAGTGTTCGATTTGCACCTCCTCACTTTGCTATTGCCGGTCTGGGAACATTGCCCAGGCTACGCCACCCAGCTGTGTCCATTCGACTGATGCAAATTTTGACATTTTCGCTCCACAGTGCTCATACGATTCCAAATCGGGTCCTGATTAGTCTCCCAAAATTTGAACTCATTTGCAAAGAAACTGACTTGGCTTAAACTATTTGAAGTTTATATGGAAATTACTATGGGAAATCAAAACTTTTTGTTCATTGTCCATATTGCACTGTTCAAAAATTCAAAAGCTTTACTTATGGAAAATTTTCTCTGCTTCAACTTAGCAGAATATAGTTGTTGAGCCAAACGTCAAATAAAATAGTTATTAATTGTTTAAGAGATTGATAATCTTATGGCATAATCAAGCAGTTGTTTTGTGAGCAACACTGTATCTTGCAGTGTGACATAGTAGCCATGATTGTTGTGCTCTATTCCAAGCGCCAGAAACACAGTTGATTGAGCATAATCGTAAGACATTAGTGGCTTGAATTATTGATAACTTTTGATTCTTACATTATATTGAATAGTGGTTAAGGACAAAGTTGTAGCTAAGAAAATTTTCTACGAGCTTAGTTATCATTTTTCAAAGCAGAGCGATATGGTAAATTGTTAGATGGATATGAACAAAACATTTGGTTTTCCTATAGTAATTTCCATATAAACTTCAAATGGTTTGTGCCAAGTCAGTTTCTTAGCGAATGAGTTCAAATTTTGGGAAACTAATCAGGAACCGATTTGGAACCGTTTGAGCACTGTGGAGCGAAAATTTCAAAATTTGCATCAGTCTAGTGTCCATGTTTCAGCTGGTAGTCTTTTATTATCATATGACTCGAGGAGGTGAGAGGTAGGAACTAGTGAGGACCAGAGCTAGGTATTTTGTAACCCATTTTGTAACCCATTAATTGAATAATGATTGAAGACGTATAGCGCTCAATCGCGCATTTTTGAGAAACGGTATTCATAAATTCACGTATTTTTGTAAATTTCTTGTGATATATTTTATAGTACTCTTAATACAAATGTATTGCTTTGAAGAAGATTGAATTGATCAGTATCAATTAAAGAAAATGTGAATTTATTCTTTTGAATGAACTTATAAAATAAAATAGAGCACTTTCAGACACACTCGCGAAAAAATGAATTCTTAAATCGTCTTTCTGAGATTTGCGTGAAATTTTGCGGAATTGTTTGTTGTGGGCAATAATTCACATTTTTGCTAAAATTCAGCCATTTTTGATCTTGCAAAAAAAATTTAATTGGTGTCTTTGAAATTTTTCAAAAAATTGTTCCCTGAGACAAAGTAATGTATTTATGGAAAAAAATATACACAAAATATTATTTTTTTAATTTCAAGAAAAAATTAAAAACAATGCTACAAACGTAGATTTTTCAGAATGTCCTGGTACGAAAGTTTGAGAGCTTGCGACAGGTGTGTTATAGGGATTGATTGAAGGGTTTAACGGCTCTTTGAGTCTTTTTACTGCAGCAACGATTTTATTATTATTATTATTATTTTATTTATGGCCATGTGCTCCGTATAAGTGTTTTAGTATGCGCGGAGCACTTGATCAACATTGAAAAAAAAGAAAACTTTTTGCACTGCTGTCTAATCGATTTGAGGTCTTGGGCGAAGTTGTTCTGTGTAATTTATTAGGAATGTTAAAAGACGAAATAATTTTCCAAAGCAGATTTTTTTTACATCATACATAAAATCAGATCATTAGAGATTCTCGCCTGTCTATTTTTAAACCTACGTGACTAAATTGCCAGTTTCAAGATGCTGATTGAAATGTGAAATTATAGTTTTATCCTACAAAAGATCTATTACTAATTATTAATTTATAAATAAAATTTATTTTTGAAAACATATGAAATTTCTTCAAAACGGCTGCAAAAACAAATTGTTTTCACAGGAATTCAAATGTCTTAGAAAGCAGCATGTCTTCAAATCTGGCATCCCTGGTCCCAACTAAGCCAAGAGACCTTTGCTGAAGATGTCAACTTAATTGGATGCAATCCCAGTGCGTTGTTATTTTTTCCTCCTTATTTTCATTCCTAACCCACTGTGCACAGTGTGAAATTCCTAGTTAAATTGCGATTAACCGTTCACAAATCCATGCGTTCGAAATTCGAGACTCTACCTCCCTTCTATCGCCATCTAATGATTTCCCTTTCCGCTCATCTCATTCCAGGTAAGCCAGTACACCGTACCACCATCAGCTGGAAGTTGGAAAATAAGATTAAACACCTCCACGAACAGGTAGGAAATGCTTTTCCCTATTATCATGCTGCTACTGCTACCGCTGGGACCCGTTGTTGGTTCCACGGTGGTGTTCAAATCAAATTACGATGTCCTCGCCCACCGTCGTCCGTCGCACGTTGGGTAGACCAGCCAGCAGCAGCTGGTCATTTCAGGTCCCGGATTTATTACAACACATTTTCCGGTGGGCACTCGAAAATGTCGACCAGGATTATCATAAACCATCCGAGTATGGTGGAGTACAGCTCAACCGGTCCAGCATAATTCAATTAGGATCCGAAAATTTTTCCACCCCCGCCCCATTAGATTACCCTCGGGGCACCGGCTAGGTGGTATGCCGTCAGAACTCATATCCGGAACTCCGGTGGCGTGGGAGAGCGTGTTTGATGTGGTCCTTGTTATTGTTGTACAGTTCTGGCAGCTCATTTCAGTTATGTTGGCAGGGGGTGAGTGACGTAGGTGCTGGGTCCCGTTTTTATGGTGCGTGGTGGTTTTATGGTGGAAAATTAATTAAACGGTCTTGAGCAGGTGAGTGAGCAGCGGAGGGCTGCCTTTGTAAAACATTCCAATTTTTAAAAGCATAAATGCACAAATGATTTCTTCACACCAAACAAACCATTCCGTGCCGACCGATAGGACAGTTGTAAGTCCACCCGATTGCAAAACTGTGGGGTGGTTGCTCATCCTTCCTGCACCGTCAAATCTTGCTCCGTTTAAGGGAGCATTGCTAATTTGCAGCATCCGGGAGTAATAATGCCGTCGGATGGAGCAACCAGTAGCACCACCATCATCAACTGAAAACAAAGAGATAAAAAAAAATGTTTCCGAAAGATAGCACAAATCAGTTCGCACCCATACTCACCACCTCCCTTCCACCCTTCGGGTTTCATTTCCGAAAGCATCTTTTTTCCTGTATACATGCTAGTTTATTATTCATACTGGTTCTCCCGTACGATTTTCATAACACAATAAACAAGAGTTTTATGCGCTTTGCTCTCATAAAGCTCTTTTCTCAAACTGGGGTGGAAGGGGAGGAGTTCGTGACGAGTCCGATCCGTTCTTGGAGGACCAAGATACCTACCACCAACATCGTCCGTCCATCCATTCGTCAGAGGGATGGCTCGTAAAGCATTTTCATTTTCGTGTGCGGACCCCCCATCCCCAACCGCTCGTCAACGGACAGCAACGGCAGCTACATGAATGGGATCAACTTTTCGGTCACACGATGCCTTGGTCGTTGGTGCACTTCTGCCGCCATTGTTGCTCAGCTTCAGTGTGATATGTTTTGCTCTATTGTTTTGCTGCTCACAGCGCAGTAACAACAACGATAATGAACCCCACACCTCCACATATACACCACCATCACCATCGTGCTCTATCCGTTCTATCAGAAACATATCATAAAGTAAGAAGGATAATTATGTCAGGAACTGCGGTAAACATGGCATCGTTTATACTAGAGTAAGAGAGACAGAGAGAGAGAGAAAGTGGAGAGGTGGGGAGTCTGAGCTATCAAAACTAGTATCAGCCAAGCAGGAAGTGTTTTTCGGGGCATAGAAATTTAATCCTTTTCAAAGTTTCTGAAGGGAACATGGCATGGCAGGCCGGAGAGTTGCATTGTAAGCGTGTTTTTGCCTTGATGGGTATGTGTGAGATTTCGGGCGTTGCCTTAGGATTATTGAAGATTTTGACGACTTGGAAGGCTTCAAATATTTGCGCTGCCATTGTTGTATTCGAGCTGGAAGACTTGGAAAGCTGAGTAGAATTTAGTTCCCTTTTCTGCAAGGCAAGCTTCTTGTCTTGAACCGTTGGGGGTCATAGTGCTTTAAGTCCATTTGAAAAAACTTGAGAGAGTATCATTTAGCTGAAAAAAAATAATACAGTCAGGAATCCTTATTGCCGGATCCTCATTGCCGGGCTATCCGCGAATAAGGATACCCACAGCTTATGGGATTTTCATTAATAGGGGCTGTGGTGGATTATCTCATTTGTTTTAATATATAGATGTATACTGTTGTGCTGGGATAGACCAACCGGCCTGTGTCGTTGAATTCAGGTTTAATTGGGAACTACGCCGCTAGAGGCGCTTCACTTTTATGTTACTTATGACGGGCGCTATAATATATGGATTTTAGGTCCAACATAGAATATTTCGTGATCCTGGCCATATAGAAAGTTACTGTCTCCAGCAAAGTTGATCAAGTGACCAAGTCCTTTAGGATGGTCGCCATATTAGTTCAGAACTCTCTCACTACGCAGCGTTAGTGTACATGTGAACTTCCTATATCAACTACATCTCGAGAACCTGGCCATATAGAAAGTTGCAATCTTCAGCAAAGTTGTTCAGATAACCAAGTCCTTTCCGATGGTGGTCATATTAACTCAAAACTCTCTCACTATGCGGCGCGAGTGTGCACATGAACTTCCTTAATATGTTATGTGTGGAAAGCTTGCCCATAGAACAGGGCTGGTAGCGAGTCACTTTTAACCCAAGCAGCACCCTTCGATCGAAATAAGCTGCTGCAACTTGATTGTGACTGGAATAAGTTGCACACAAGTAACCACAATTGTTCAGTGACATGTGTGCTGCTAGGGAAGTGACTTTGTCACTTTTTTCAAGCAAGTCACTAAAAAGCCTCCTTTATTAAGGCAAAGTCATTAAAGTCACTTTTCATTGTAATCAGCCACTATTAAAAAACAAAAAAATAACGTGAACTTCGATCGTTCTTCTTGCAGTGCGTAGGAAAGGCCTACAAAAAAAAAAAAACAACAACAACAATTAACGCAAACGTTTTTAAGACATGATGATCAGTTTTAAAGAAACAGCTTCACTTCATTTTAGTAAGTCTAAGATCACAACATTTTTAATGTCTTGAAGTTTCATACTAGCTAAATTATGAAAACTTTTAAGAAGTTCTATTTATCTCAGAAAAACTAGACATGTAGATCATGGGGATTCCAGAGATCTTAAGCGTAAGTCCCCGAAATTTTAGCCCAGTCTATTGGATTGGCTAAAAAATCTTAACACTTATGATGTCCCGAGAGATTCAGTAAAAAGACCTCCAGAAAGTTTATGCAAACTTCAGAATATTTCAGAAACTTCACAGAAATCCAGAGATTTCCAGGGAAGTTTAAAGGCGTTCACGATAATTCCATTTATTTTAAAGCAGAACCGAGATCTTCATTTGAATTCAGAGCTTTAAGGAAGCTCCGAGAACATCATAGAACTAAAGACAGATGATAGAATTAAAGGGCAGTTAAAAAACAGAAACCTTAGAAAAGTTAGAAGAAAATTTCCAGGAACATCCGGTTTGCCCAGAGAAAATTTATGGAACGCAATAAAAATTATATGAACATCCGGAAAATGTGAGAGTATTTCAAGGATGTCACATCATGGAAATTTAAAGACCTAAAACTTTCGAAAACTTAGTTATGTTGATTATAGAAAATCAACGAAGTTCCAGTAATTAAAAAACTGCCTCATAGCCTAGTCAATAAAGGCACGGTATTACCAAGCCGGAGGCGGCGGGTTCGATTCCCGGTCCGGTTGAGGGAATCTTTCGGGTTGGAAATTTTCTCGACTTCCCTGGGCAAAGAGTATCATTGTGCTTGCCACACAATATACAAATTCATGCATTGGTATTGGCATCGAAAGCTCTCAATTAATAACTGTGGAAGTGCATTTAGAACACTAAGTTGAGAGCACGCAATAAGCTAATATGCGCTAAGCAATAAGCTTGAAATGCGAACAAAAAGAAGAAGAAGAAGTAAAATTTGAGCAAGCACCGATATTTTTAAGAAATTCCAGAGAACTTCTAAGAAATTTAGATATTTTCAGATTATTTCGTTATATTCAGTGCAGTTCCGAGTTCTCCGAGGACGATCAGATAAAATCCTAAAAATCCTCTTAACTTAAGGAAATTTGCAGCGACTAACAAGGAGTTCCTTGGAATGATGGGATATTCCGAGAATTCTATGATTGATCTGCAAACTTGAGAAGATTCAGGGAATTATAAATATATATTAGAAAATTTTACAGAATATTTGATAAATGTGGAGAAATTCAGGTAAGCATGAAAAACTTTAGGGCTGGACTTTCCAGGGAAAATTAGTGATTCAAGGCAAAGTCCCGTGAGCGTTCACAAACTTTATAAAACTTAAGGAAAATTGTAGAACTCAAAGGCAATTTAATCAATTCTAGTAAAATTGTGGGTTCTTAAAAAAATACTTTGGTACAGGACAGTAAAGAGAATTTAAGGAATGTTTTGAAATATTTTGCGCAGTTTTTAGAACGTCAGGAAACTCTAGACTATTAAGCTAGATTTAGAATTAGTTTCGAAAAATGACAAGTCTTGAGAAATTCAATGGAAATAATAGAACAAAATTAATTGTTTATTTAATATTATTTTAGAATAACTTCGGAAAACGCGCTCTTCTAAAACAAACCATCCCGTGGAAAACTTAACATGTATTGTGAATTTCGTTATTCGTTTTGTTGGATCATATTGTTGGAAGGAGATTCTCTTATTCCCACGGGTTTCGCGTAAGTGCTTCTGCTTACGGGCCCGTCCAACCCTTTTTGGCCCTTCATACAGCAGTATGTTGAATTCAGAATGATGACGGAATTTGATCTTGCTGTTGAGTGGAGCCGCATGCAGGGCAAGACCCAAGCTAGGATGGTGGCTACTTACATACATACATACATACACTTCGGAAAACTCCAAAGAAGCACAGAGATCTTCAGAAACATTTCGAGAACTTCATAAAAGTCTTTGGAACTTAAAGGAAGATCCGAGAACTTCAGAAACCTATAATGTACATTTCGGGAGCATTTCAAATATGTTAAGTAAAGTTCCAAAAACAAGGGGAATTCCAGGGGAGTTCAGTTCTATTAGTTTCACTAAATGAGCGAATAATTTCAAGAAGTTCAAACATTTTTAGAGAACTTTAGAGATGTTAAGAACATTATTGAGGTTTTCACATAAGTCCAGAAGTTCACGGAAGCTTAAAAATTGTTAGAATTAGGTTCAATTAAATTCAGGGTAGTCCAACAAGCTTCATGAGAACTGCAAATACTTTAGAGAAGTTTCGAGAACTTCCAGAAAAAAGCTAAAAAGCAAAAAAAAACTTCAAGAAAGAACAAATATCTTAAGAGCAGAGATATTCCAGTGCAGCGAAATTTTATAAATTTTAAAGAAGTTTAGAGGAATTCAGAAACTTTAGGAAGTCCGGAAAAGTTTGGAAAAGTTAAAATCAATGATTATAAGTATTGAGAGCATCAGGCTAGTTTCAACAGAATTTCAAGGCAGTTTCATTAACTTCAGGAATATTTTGGGAACTTTCAAGTTGTTCTGAAGATCTCAGAATAGTCCATTACATATTCAACGGGGACTTCGCATGAAAATTCGCTTGGATTTATACTCAATATTCGCTCATATTCACCCGAAATTTTCATAGAATTATTTCAGAGATTCACTTGGAACGCTTGTCTGAATTCTCTAAAAAATATCATAAGAATATAGTTGGAATAATTATTGCAACTATTCAACGAATCAAATTTTCTTTTAATTTTTTAGGAGTTGCCTTGAAATTCTCCTCAGTAAGATATCATATGAAAAGATACTCAGAATTTTAAT